AGATTAAGGAGGAGTATCAAACGAAGGAGCCCCGAATGGAAAAGTATCTAAGCAAGGTCAGATTGCACCTCGCCTAGTTCGAGACTTACGAGGTGAATCAAGTTCCAAGATCAGAAAATTCCAATGCAGATGCCTTAGCCAAATTGGCATCAGCGTATGAGACCGACCTGGCTAGATTGGTCCCGGTTGAGATCTTGGACAGTCCTTCAATCCTGGATCCAGATGTGATGGAGATTGATACTCCATCACCTTCGTGGATGGATCAAATCCTGGAATTTATCAAAGGGAATCCTCCGCAAGATTCAAAGAAGCAAAAGAGGATGGCGCGGAAAGCAGCTCGGTTCATACTCCGAGACGGGGCCTTATACCGACGTGGTTTCTCCCTACCTCTACTTAAGTGCATGACTCCCGAAGAAGGCCTTTACATTCTTAGGGAAATCCATGAAGGGGTGTGTGGAAACCACTCTGGCGCCAGGACGTTGTCGGCCAAGGTGGTTCGACAAGGGTACTATTGGCCCACTGTCGAGTAGGATGCAAAGCAATTTGTGAAAACCTGCGATAACTATCAGCGCTTTGCAAATATCATCCATCAGCCTCCCGAGCTGTTGAACCCCATCTCGGCCCCATGGCCATTCGCGCAGTGGGGGGTAGATATCATAGGTCTTTTTCCCCTGGGCAAGGGACAAACCAAGTTCGTCGTTGTCGCTGTGGACTACTTCACCAAGTGGGCCGAGGCCGAGGCACTATCCCACATCACGGAATCTAGAGTCACATCTTTCATATGGGCAAACATTGTATGCCATTTTGGTATACCAAATGCTATTGTGACGGACAACAGAAAGCAGTTCGACAATGCAAGGTTCAAGGACTTTTGTAGAAAATTGGGAATAAGCCATCTCAGTTCGTCCCCTGCGCATCCAAAAGCAAATGGGCAGGTTGAAGCGATAAATAAAATCATAAAACGAGGACTCAAGCTGAGACTGGACTCCAGAAAGGGAAGGTGGGCCGAGGAGCTACCCAAAGTGTTATGGTCATATCGAACCACCCCGAGAGAGTCAACTGGTGAAACTCCGTTCTCGCTGGCCCTTAGCTCCGAAGCTGTTGTTCCTGTAGAGATCGACGTACCAACAGACAGGATAGAGCAGTACGAACCAATGAGGAACGAGGAAGAGCTACTCCTTAACCTAGATTTATTAGAAGGGAAAAGGGAAATGGCTCAGATGCGCTTAGCAGAGTATTAAAACAGAATGGCCAGACATTACAATGCCCGAGTTCGACCTCGAAGCTTCCAAGTTGGACATTTGGTCTTAAGGAAAGTTCAGAGTCATGTGGGAACCCTTGACCCAAGTTGGGAGGGACCGTTCGAGGTTAAAGGCATAGTCCGGCCCGGAACGTATGTGCTGGCCGATTTGGAAGGAAGAGTGCTTGCGCATCCATGGAACGCGGAGCACTTGAAGCGCTATTACCCTTGAAATGTCAAAATGGTCCTAAAATGGACTTGTAAAAATTTTCAAGGGGCGGAAATTTTAATAAATGGAGTTATTTAATTTCATAACTCCGAGTTCGATTAGAAATTAAATGGGGACCACGGACTCCCATAAGACTTGAAAATTCGATCATTTGAACACTTAAGTTAAAGGTGCGATGTTGAAGGTTCAAGAAATTCAATCCTCTAAACCCACGAGTTCGAAGTGCGATGTGAATGCCCTCTAAACCCACGGGTTCGAGGTGCGATGTGAATGTTAAATACGAACTCAAAATTAAAAAATTCAACCCTTTGAACGTTAAAGTCAAAGGTGAGATGTAGAAAGTTCAGATTGCTTAATATTATCTTTTGGACTTCCGGGTTCGAGGAGAAATATTAAAGATCAATAAAAGAAACTCTCAAATTCAAGCCTTAGATAAGAGGAGCGATGTGAAAAGAGTCATCCCACACTCAACCCTTTAAACTTACGAGTTAGAGGTGCGAGATGAACTTCATACATGAGTTTCGACGTACAAAAGCAAGTTTAAAAAGCTTAAGGAAAATGTAGTAAAAGAACAAACAGAAGTGGAAAAATGGAAGTTTCATTGATTAAACGGACCGAGCCAAGGCTTATATACTTTGCAGCTCTGCCCAAAGACTTACAAAAGAAATAAAAAAAAAACAACAACAAAATCTACAAGGAAGCTCAGCCGCTCCCGAGGTGAGAAGATAGCTCGCCTTGAGAACCCAGAAGGTTGACCTCCTGAGATCCGTTCTGCTGAGAAGGAGCTCCCTCCTGGGTAGTGCCGACCTCATTAGGCTCCTGACTAGGGGCTTCGTCCTCGTCCAGGTCAGAATAGTCAGAGTCCAGATCTCTGACGTACTTGTCCACCAGGGATGCAGGGCCTGGAGTGCCGTTGGGCCTAGAAGCCCATTTCTCAGCATACCTCTTCTTCAGATCGCAAAGGTCGACCTGGAGGTGCGGCATATCAGCAGCAATGCCCTTCATTAGAAACTTGAAGCCTGCATCGCTGAAGTCCTTGGCAAACCCATCAAAGTCTGGGTGTTGCCTGAAGGCAGCTTCAAGGAGAGCTCCATTGGTAAGGTGTTCCTTCTCCGCCTTCAGCTCAGCAGTGAGACGCCCAATTGTAGCGTCCTTCCCTTCGAGGGCCTGGAGCAGGTCGTCCTTCTCCTTAAGGAGTTGTAACTTTTCCTTCTCCAGCCCTTTAGCGATGGCATGGGCAGCTCGGAGGTGGGCCTTATGCCTCTCATCCTCCCTCTTCAGCAGCTCGGCCTTGGCTTCTACCTCGGCCCTCAGAATGTCCACCTCGCTCCGAGCCTTCAGCAGCTCGCCTTTGAGCGTAGTGGCAGCCTCCA